GTCTATTGAAGTAATTAGTTTTATTTTTGGGGTTTTTTTGTTTGTTTTTTGAGACAAGGTCTTACTCTGTTATCCAGGCCGGAGTGCAGTGGCACGCACGATCATAGCTCATTGTAGCCCTGAACTCCTGGGTTCAAGTGATCCTCCTGCCTCAGCCTCCCCTCACATCCCCTGAATAGCTGGGACTACAGGTGTGCACCACCACACCTGGATAATTTTTTTTCTATTTTTTGAAGAGACAGTGTCTCACTGTGTTGCTCAGGCTTCTCTTAAACTTCTGGCCTCAAGCGATCCTCCTGCGTCAGCCTCCTAAAGTGCTGGGATTACAAATGTGAGCCACCCCTCCTGGCCTAGTTTTATTTTTATTTACCCAAACCAAGTACATATGGGTCATCTGGGAGAGGGGGCCATAGTTGAACCCCAGCATCCTTTCCTTGGCAGAAGAAGAGTTGGCCATTGCCCGTTTGATGGCCAGATTCACTCCTTTGGGTGGGCGCCTTCTTTAAGCTGGTAAGCTAGGCTGCCTCCAGTCTCCGTGTCTGTCTGTGGAGAGGTGGAGGTGGTGGGTGAGATGGTGAGTGCCCATTGTTGTGTCCGCAGTGAGGGGAAAGACCAGAGAGCTGCTGAGGAGGCTGAAACCAGGGTTTGGTGGAAAGCTAGGGTGATGGATTCTCACCTGTTCCTCCCAGTGAGAGGAAAATGCTCTAGAATGAGACTTTGTAAACTGAGGGTAGCAGGAGCCACAAGCCAGGGGTTTGGAGAAGGGTGGGAGACAGAGTGGGAGCAGAGGGGCTGCTCCCTGTCCTGACACTTCCTAGCCTCCCAAGGGTGGAATGAGGTTGATTTGGAAGACAGCAGCATAGGCTTTGTCGAGGGCCGTAGTGGACAGTTCTGGAGAATCAGAGGACGTGGTGGAGGCACAGGCCCCTGAGGTGTTAGGTGGGGCTGCTGGGTCCGGGAGGAGGAGCACAGAAGCACCAACACTTGCGTGGCACAGCTACTGACTTATATGTGGAACGGCCACACCTCTTCTGGCTGTTCTCTGTGCGGCACGTGGTAGAGGACAGTCGGCAGCACACACATCTGCGTGGAAGGGGTTAATGGTGGCAGCTCTGTGCTTGCTCCAGGACACTTAGCCTGAGAGGCTGCCCCATAAAGAGAAACTGTTCAGAACACCTGTGCATCTTGAAGTATAGTTGAATCAATGCCTGTCTTTTAGCCATTTTATTGAAGTAGAGCAATCACACAGAAACAGACATGTCATAAGAGTATGGCTAATAAATGTGTCAGCCCTGAGACCAATAGCACCCACAAAACCACCCTTGTGTACCTTTTCAGAACTAACCTGCAGTGGAACCACTTTCCTGACTTCTAACAGCATAGTTTTCTGTACTTTTTTGTGATTTGTTTCTTTTTGCAGTATTTTGTTTGTGAGATTCATCCAAGTCATGTGTGACCATTCATTCATTTGCTGTGTGGTATTCCACTGTATATTCAAATATCACAATTTGTTTGTGGGTATTTGAGTGTTTCTAGTTTGGGGCTATAATGAAGAAAGCTGTACTGAGCACCCTGATGTGTGTCTTAGGGCGAGCACAGGTAGGCATAGCTGATAAGAGTAGCTGTGCAGGATCACCAGTGTGCATCCAATTAGATTTAGGAGGTACTTCCGGCGAGTTTTACAAAGCAGTTGTACCAATTTCACTACTACCAGCAGTATTTAAGCATTCCACTTGATTCTGATCTTTGTGAACATTTGTGTCTTTAATTTTAGCCATTCTGGTGAATATATAGCCGCATTCTGTTGTGGCTTTAGTTGTATCTCCTTTATGATTAACATTCAACAGTGTTCCTGTGTCTAATTAGCCATCTGGATCTCCTGTTTTGTGAAGTACCTGTTCACATAAAAATATCCTGTAATTAGGCCAGGCGTGATGGCTCACGCTATAATCTTAGCACTCTGGGAGGCTGAGGCAGGAGGATCATTTGAGGTCAGGAGTTGGAGACCAGCCTCAGCAAGAGTGAGACCCCATCTC